AAGCTGATAGGCCTTAGGGTCTGGACCAGGGGTGGTGTCTGCTGCCTGGCTTGGTGGCTCTTGCAATGGTGAGGCCTCTTCCACCTCTTCCTCTGCTCCTGGGGCTCCCACCTGGAGGCCTGATCCTAAGCCCCCTGTGGGTACAGATGGTGGTGGCAACAGCAGCAGGAGACCCTGAAAGGCAGCAGCTGAAGCGACCAGAAGGGCAGTCAGTGCCCAGAAGAAGGTGCTGGCGGGAAAACGCTCAAGGAAGTCGAGTGGGGGGCCGGGGGTGCCGTTGATGGGGGCTGGCGGGCACTCACGTCGGCCCACACCCTGCACTAGGGCCAGCACGCAGGGCAGCAGGGCACTCAGGCCTTGACCCAGGAAGAATGACCGTAAGAAGCGAGGTGGCAGGTGGCTCAGGAAGGGCAGGAAAGTGACATTAGAGGCACAGCATGCCAGCGCCAGCACAAAGGCCAGTGCTAAGAAGGCCACGGAATGCGACTGTCCTGCCACTAGGACCACGCGGTGCCACAGAAAGGCCAGGAGAGCTGTGCCCACCATGCTCAGCACCTGCACCACCTGGATGGGGACCCGCTCGCCCTTTCCTGGGGCCAGCCGCCTCCAAAGGGTCACCACCAGCAGACCCAGGTTCCCCAGCGCCACAAGCACAGAGACGTAGGAGGGGAGACTCCAACCTGCAGGGAAGGAAGGAGACCATGTCAGGGGCATGATACCCAAGGGAAGAAGAACTGACAGAGCCCACCTTCCTGGGCACACCTGCACCTCCTCCCACTCACCCTCCGGAAGCTCTTTGACCACCACAGGTAGTTCCACCCAGATCCCATTGACCGCAGCCCAGGAGCCCATGCCGAAGAGAGCCACCAGCAGGTGGGTCAGCACCGGACGGCCGGGTGTGGGTGCTGCCATTCAGTCCAAGGCTGCGCCCTTCCAGGTCAAGGCAAAGGTCACAGCCAGTTCTTTTCCCACCTAGGTCCAGAGACGCTTTGGCTCTTCTGGGAACTGAAGACCTCTTCTAGCTTGAAAGAAACAGACAAATAGGCAGGATACAGAGCCGGAATCAACAAGGTGACACCAGGGGAACAGGGGGAGCCCCGGGCAGGAGTGGGAATGGGGAGGATTGGCTAAAACGTACCCAGCAGCACCGCCCGCCAGCGTCGGGACCGCCGGCAGGTAGGGAAGCAGGAAGCCGGCCCGAGTCGCTGCAGCCCCAGGGGAGGAGGCCGAAGGAGCGAGTGGAGCCCTCCTCTCCAGGGAGAGGCGGGGTTGGAGTCACTGCAACCACCACCCCAAGCCGGACACTGGGACAGGGCGCCTACCAGCAGGAGCCAAGCACGCCCCAGGGCTTCGCGGTGCCCGGGACCGCAGGAGCCAAGTCAGATCCCAGGGGAGTGGCTGGGGCGGCTCTGCTCGTAGGGGCGCCGCCCTCTCATCAGCTTCAGGTGGGCGACCCGGGAGCCGTCCGGTCCCTACGCCTCCCGGTCCCGCGCCCAGTGCGCTTCCGCTCTAGTGCCGGCTTCCCGCCACGCCAGGACGCCGCCGTCCGGCCCAGGGACGCCGCCTCAGTCCAGACAGCCCAGGACCCAACAGCAGCCACCACCGGACTCACCCGCCGCGACTCCGGGCCCGCCCCCGGCATGGCCCACGGCCGGAAGTCCCGCCCCGGAAGCGGGTCAGCGGGCGGGCGCAGAGAAGAGTGGGGGGGTGTCAGTCTGTAAGCCCCGCCCGTTCCGCTCCCTGGAGCTGCCCCAAGCGCCGTCGGTGGTCATGGCTTCCCCGGCCTCCCGGCCCGTCCGGCGCAGAGCTCGGGCAGCGCCGCGGGCCCGCTCGGCCGAGGACTGGTGGTGGGACCGGCTGGCGCCGAGCGGCTCGGGGTACCACCTGCTTCCGTCCGACAGCATGCTGCTGGTGCTGTCCGAACCCGGACCCGCCCGGAGCCGCGCACAGCGGCGCGCTGCCCGCCGCACTCCCCGGCAGCCGCCCCCGGGCCGCGCTGCGGCCAAGCCCAAGGCCACGCTCAGGCCCGACCCGGCGCCCTCGCCCGAGGAAGGGCCCGACGCGGGCTGGGGAGACCGCATTCCCTTGGAAATCCTGGTGCAGATTTTCGGGTTGTTGGTGGCGGCGGACGGGCCCATGCCCTTCCTCGGCAGGTAACGCTGCTGCCGGGCCCGTCGCCGAGCGCAGCGACTTGGGCCAGACGTGGTCCGAGCAGTGGCCCGGGCGGGGGCGGAGGGCGAAAGCATCGGAGCGCACACCCCTCCGCCCGAGAGCGCAGCCCCTTAGGTGCCCGGTTGGAGTCCCAGGAGCCCGGCTTTGAGCCGGGATGTCCACTGCGCTGCGAGAGGGGGTATCACCTACGAAGGGGCCGGCAGCCTCAGCACGCTGTCCTCCCAGGGCTGCGCGCGTGTGCCGCCGCTGGCAGGAGGCCGCTTCCCAACCCGCGCTCTGGCACACCGTGACCCTGTCGTCCCCGCTGGCCGGCCGGCCTGCCAAGGGCGGGGTCAAGGCGGAGAAGAAGCTTCTTGCTTCCCTGGAGTGGCTTATGCCTAATCGGTGAGGGGTTCCCTCTTTTCCTTGTCCCCTGGCTCCAGGCTCCTTCTGTCTCCCTGCACCAAGGTGTTGGGTGGGAAGGACTCGTGTGGGAACATTAGTGCAGCTCTGCCTCTGCTGTCGGCCCAGGTTTTCACAGCTCCAGAGGCTGACCCTCATCCACTGGAAGTCTCAGGTACACCCCGTGCTGAAGGTGAGAGCTCCAGGCTGCCCTGCACACCAGCTGTGACCCTCTGGGACTGTTGAGTACTCTAGGAAGTGGGTCAGGCACCTTGAGGGCCCAACGCTGCTCCATCGGGAGGCCTGCCTGCCTGCCTGGTTCTCCTTTCCTGCTGTTTCCTCCAGCAGGGAGGTGTCAGAGGCGGGGACACCCAAGTAGGCCTGGCATGGGCAGAAAGGAGGTCGCAGCTAAGGCGGTAGCGTGGGGTTGGCACCAGCCACCTGTTTGTTTCCCTTGTGGATCTTAGCCTGCGCTCTCCCAACCCCAGCTGCCCCTCTGTCTCCCCGCAGCTGGTAGGCGAGTCCTGTCCTCGGCTCACTTTCCTAAAGCTCTCCGGCTGCCACGGTGTGACTGCTGATGCTCTGGTCATGCTAGCCAAAGCCTGCTGCCAGCTCCATAGCCTGGACCTACAGCACTCCATGGTGAGCCCTGTGTCCCAAGGGGCCCTGAAAAAGCCAGGCTGGGGTGACGGGTGCTCTTGTATTGGGACCCTAGGTGGAGTCCACAGCTGTGGTAAGCTTCTTGGAGGAGGCAGGGTCCCGAATGCGCAAGTTGTGGCTGACTTACAGCTCCCAGACGACAGCCATCCTGGGTACACTGCTGGTAGGTTGGCATTGGTGGGAGCAGAGCCAGATGCTGAGCTGGGGACTGCCAGGCCACTGACCCTGTGACCTTCTTCCCCCGCACCTCTGCAGGGCAGCTGCTGCCCCCAGCTCCAGGTTCTGGAGGTGAGCAGCGGCATCAACCGTAACAGCATTCCCCTTCAGCTGCCTGTTGAGGCTCTGCAGAAAGGCTGCCCCCAGCTCCAGGTACCTGGCGCCCTGCCTCTCCCACCTTTTATACGCTCCCCTATCTACAGCCTGGGCCTTGCCCCCAGGTGCTGCGGCTGCTGAACCTGATGTGGCTGCCCAAGCCTCTGGGACGAGGGGTGGCTCCCGGACCAGGCTTCCCCAGCCTGGAGGAACTCTGCCTGGCAAGCTCAACCTGCAACTTTGTGAGCAACGAGGTCCTGGGCCGCCTACTCCACGGCTCTCCCAACTTGCGCTTACTAGATCTTCGTGGCTGCGCGCGCATCACGCCGGCTGGCCTTCAGGATCTGCCGTGTCGGGGTCAGTGGTTCTGGGTTGTGGCCAGGCACATGAGGTGTGGGGGCCCTTGTGCCATGCTGGAGTCAGTGGTCCTGGGTGGTGGGCAGGCAGGTGAGGTGTGGGTGGTGGCTGAATGGGTGAGGTGTGGGGACCCTTGTGCCGTGCCAGGGTCAGTGGTCCTGGGTGGTGGCCGGGCGGGTGAGTTGTGGGAGTCCTTGTCGCCCTGCAGCTTATGTTCACTCCTCTCACCGCAGAGCTGGAGCAGCTTCATCTGGGCCTGTATGGCACGTCAGACCGGCTGACTCTAGCCAAGGAGGGCAGCCCCCTGTTGACTCAGAAGTGGTGCCATACACTGCGAGAACTGGACTTGAGTGGCCAGGGTTTCAGTGAGAAGGACCTGGAGCAGGCCCTGGCTGCCTTCTTAAGCACCCCTGGGGGCTCACACCCAGCCCTGTGCTCTCTTAACCTCAGGGGCACCCGGGTCACACCCAGCACGGTCAGGTCAGCATCCCCAACCCCAGTCCCTGGAGCCAGGGTGGCTGTCACCGCATCTGCCTGGGGCCTGGAAGTGGTGTCCTGCCTGGCCTGAGAGCTCCCGGGGTCAGAGGGCATGCATATTGTCCAAGCCCCTGCGTGGGGTGGGCTTAGGGACACCAGGGGAACTGGGCTTGGTCTTGGTGGCTATGGGTGGCAGAGCCAGGTGTGGAACACCAGCAGGCACAGCTCCCTAACCTGGCCCAGCCCTTCTGGGGCAACAGCTCAACTTCCTGTGGCCTGCTTTCCCCACAGCTCTGTGATCAGCAGCTGCCCAGGCCTGCTCTACCTCAACCTGGAGTCCTGCCGCTGCCTTCCCCGGGGTCTGAAGCGGGCCTACCGGGGCCTGGAGGAAGTCCAGTGGTGTCTGGAGCAGCTGCTCACCAGCCCCTTGCCCAGCTAGGCAGCCACAGACCTGGGACACCTCAGCCCGCCTGCCCACCCCCTACCTTTGCCCAATTTCAGATATTTGAGCATTTTTTTTAAATAAAACGTTTTTGGGAGCTCTGTGTGTGGTCCTCAGGGTAGGGTTGGGCAACGGGTTATACCTGATGGAGCCACTGGGGCTACAGCCAACCCAGAGCCTGTGTGTTGTGGGGTCAGGATGGCCCCATGGGCTCTTAAGCTTGCAGGTGGCCATGCCTTTGCCTGCCCACTGCTGGCACCAGTGTGTGTGTGCCACCCTCAGGAACACTGGTGAGCTTGTCTGTGGTTGCATGTAGGGGGAGAGGTGGGGCCCCGCCCAGCTGTGGGGCTCATTGAGGGGTCCCCGCCTGCAAATTTCTCTCCAGCTCAGTCCTAGGGTGTCCATCCATCCACCTTTCAGATGAGGACTGTGAACAGGCCATACAGGGGGCCTCCAGGGGATGGACTGGCCAAGAAGTTAATGCCCACCGCAGGACCTCACCCCGGACTCCCTAGGAGGTGGTTAACAGAGCGGCCCCTTCTAGAACCCGCCCAGAACTTCTAGAACCCGTGCGCGGTCCACCCTGGGCCGCTCCCTGGCCTCGCTGCCCTGCCAGTCGCCTATGAGCTCCTGCTCCTTCCTGGGCCTGCAGCCCTGGAGAATTTGTTCACCCAGGTAGGAGCGTCGCTGTGGGCAGCAGGCGGTGGCAGCGGGCGGGCGGCCGGGCTGACCACCTCTGCCTGACGCAGATGCCTAAGGCCAGGCCCGGCAGCCTGCCCACGACCTCCATCGGCTGGCGCTTCCAGCTCTGGTCCCTAGGACTCTCCTCTCCGGAGCGCCACTTGGCCAGGCGCCTCAAAAACAATAGCTTCTACCCATTCATGCAGCAGCAGCCAAACGGTGCGCGCGAGGCTGGGCGGGGCGGGGTGGGGCGGGTCCGGGGACGGGCCTGAATAGGGCGGAGCCAGGTGGGCAGAGCCAGGGCCCTGGGCGGGGCCAGTCAGTGCTCCTGGGGGCGGAGACACCGCCTCCCCTAGCCCTGCGCAGACCCAGCCAGTCAGGGCAAAGCCCTGGCACCGCCACCCCTGGCTGCGGGCAGGGCCGGGGCGTCCTCATGCGCCGCGCCGCCCCCAGTCTTCGTGCTCGAGTACTATCTGGACACGCTGTGGAAGGGGATGCTGCTCTTTGTCGTCTGCGTGGTCCTGGTCAGCTTGGGCTCCCTGAGAGAGGTGTGAGCCCCTGGGCCCGACCCCCATCGCCCTCCTCCCCCAAGGGCCGGCCTCGCGCCGCTCAGCTCAGACGCTCCCTGCGGCGCCCGCAGGTACAGAAACAGGAGACCTGGGTCTTCCTCGCGTACGGCGTGGGCGTGGGCCTGTGGCTCGTGATCTCGTCGCTGCCGCGGCGGCGCCTGGTGCTGAACCACACGCGCGGCGTGTACCACTTCTCCATCCAGGGCCGCACCGTGTGCCAGGGCCCCTTGCACCTGGTCTACGTGCGCCTGGCCCTCAACTCCGACGGTGACTGGCCGGGAGGGTGGGCCAGGGACGGGGAGGCCGCTTGGGAGGTCAGAGGGGCGGTCAGGCCGGCTGAGTCCACTCTCCCCGCAGCCTACGGAAGGTGCTTCTTCCAGCTGGTCCTCGGCGGCCACAGGTTGGAGCCGCTGGTGCTGGTGCAGCTGTCGGAGCGCTACGAGGTGGGTTCCGCCCAGACACGCGGCCTCTCTGGGAACAGGATGACAAGATCACTGTTTAAGGTCTTTGGGTGGGGCCGTTTCCTCACGCAGATAGTAAATACAATGCAGTCCTCATTGCTGGGGACCGGAGAGGGCGCCAGGGCTTCCGGCAGGACTGGGGATGCGGCCTGGTAGGGGAAGGAGACACCTGGACGGCGACTCGGCGTCTGTCCTATCCTGGCCCCAGTTGAGCGCCACCTGCTCCCACAGCAAATGGAATACTTGGGCCGTTACATCGCCCGGAAACTCAACATCAACTACTTTGACTACCTGGCCACCTCCTACCGGCACGTGGTTCGCCACTGGCCACCCCCTAGCACCACACCGTGATGCGTAAGAACCCCGTGGGTCACAAGCCCAGCTCCTCTCAGTCCAGCCTGGAGGTGTGACACCTGGAGGTGTGATTCTGAGGGCCTCCTCCACCCCAGGACTGCGTTCTCGGTAACCTCCCAGCCCCACTCTGGGGCAGATCAAATTGTGAGACCCACTCACTGTCCTTCCTTTCAATAAAGCTGCCTCAGCTTCCACACAGGTCATTTTCGGGGGCAGGGGAGGCACTCTGATGCCTAGGTCTTCCACTATTGCACACTCCTAGGACCTCAGAGAGCCAGTGCCTTCCAGCTGGCTGAAGCAAACCCCACAGCTTGGGTTTGAAGGCAGGAACAGCTGGGAGCAAGGGATGGTATATAGTCAGGTCTCTGAGGTTGGGCCCATCACTAGAGAGGCTGGGAACTCCGGCCTCTCAGCCAGCAGCACTTAATTTGTCCTACCTGATCTCAGAAGTGCTGACCAATGTGTGGAACCCAGAAATCAGAATCTGGCCCATTCTGGATCTGGTGTCTGCTGCTATTCCAACCAGCAATGGGGTGGGGTGCAGCCGGAGAACAAGCTGTACGCCTGAGGTGCATGCTTGCCCCAATAGCCACAAAGCTGCTGCCGCTTGCTCCAAGGGGGTGGGCGTGAGAGTCCCAGGCCAGGGTGCAGGGCCTCCTAGGAGGGAGGATGTGCAGTGCCCCGACGCCTGCTCCATGCCCGCGGGAACCCCAGGCCCACAACCCTGACACCCACTCCCCGTGCCCGCTGGAACCCCAGGCCCACGTCCCTGACACCTGCTTGCCATGCGTGCTGGAACCCCAGGCCCACGCTCCCCTCTCTAGTGGATCCCCCAGCTCTCACTGCAGCACCTGAGGCCTCCTGAGTGCTGGGGGCTGTTGTGGAAGCAGAGAAGGCTGTGGGCCATGGGGTCCCAGGGAAAGCAGCACCTGGCTCTCTGGATCTTCAGGCATTATCAGCTGAACGTTCCTGCAACCAGAAGCAGCTACGTAATTTGCAGGGCTCCATGCCAAATGAAAATGTGGAGCCCATTGTTAGAAAGTTGTTAAGTGGGGTGCAGTGGTGCATGCCTGTAGTCCCAGCTGCTCAGGAGGCTGAAGCAGTAGAATTGCTTGAACCTGGGAGGCAGAGGTTGTGGTGCGTTGAGATCGCGCCATTGCACTCCAGCCTGGGAAACACAGCGAGACTCCATCCCAAAATTACAGCAACAACAAAAACCCAAGTATGGGGCCTTTCTGAGCCTGGGGCCCTGTGTGACTGCCCAGGTTGCAGGCTCATGAAGCCAGTTCTGCCTGGAACCATGACTTAAGAGTCTCTGCTTGACCCCCAATCCCAAAGCTGCTCAAACTCAGGGCACACAGGCACCCTGAGCCATCGCTGGGGCAGGATGTGGGGGCCACCAAAGTGGCTTCAGGTAGTCCCTGGGAGCAATTGTTATTAACAGCACAAGTGCAGGGACCCCCACTCCCCAGAAGATGGGGCTCAAGGTGTCCTAGAGTGGCAGTAACAAACAGGTTTGAGTTGAGGGCTCCATTTCACTCAGGCAAAGTCCCTCTTCCCTGGAGCTGGTGGTCTAAGGGGGCCCCGAATGGAGAGTGTTTGGAGGGGCAGCGTCCCTCCGGCTGGAGAGCTTTGGGGGAAGGGCATCCCTGGCAGAGAGCACGCACAGCACAAGGGCGTGATACAGGACTGAGCTGGGTGTGCTGGAGAAGCTGCAAGGGGATTGGGCTAGTCAGAGTAGAGAGGATGAGGGAGAAGGAGGCCTGAGATGAGGTGGGAAGGGTGGGCGGTGTCCTTGGAAGCCATAGCTCAGAGCTTTAGTCCTGTGTGCCGTGGGAATCTGCTGGAGAGCTGTAAGCAGAGATGCACTAAGACCCAGGGAGGGAGTGGTGGGGAAAGGCCAGGAGGCTACAGGAATTGTGCAGGGAGGAAAGGGAGCAGGAGGGGCAGAGGAGAACAGAGAGGAGCAAGGATCACAGGCAGTTCTGAGCTCCGGGCTCCCATTGATGGGATTTGCTGCTGGGCGGGAAGTGGGTTGGGAAGAAAAGGGACTCAGGGGAGTCCAGGGTGTCTGGCCTGGGCACTGGGGCTGGAGGCCATGGGGAGAGGGGTTGGCAGCCAGGAGTTCTGAGTTAGACAAGGCCCGAGGAGCTTATGGGACCTTGTGGGGGAGATTTTGAAAAGGCAGAAAAGCCCTGGGGAGAAAGGAAAGGGGGAAGCACAGACCTGAAACCATCATGCCCTGGGAGGTCCCTAAAGCTAAAGCACTGCATGAGATGTCCCTGGCAACACAGAAGATGGGGGAGAACAGGAGGAGGGCCAAGGATGGAGCCCCGGCATCAGACACACAGGGGCAGACAAGAGGCCACAGGGGAAGGGGACCCAAACAGAGGGAGAAGGAATCCATGTTAAGTAAGATGGGGACTCATAAGAGGCATGAACACCTCTGCAGGAACAGCCTCAAGGAAGGGGCCCTAGCAGCGCAGAACTGGGGAGGGGAGGAGGGGGAAAGAGATGGTGGAAAGAAGAGGACAGTAAAGATCACGCAGGAAGTTTCACTGCCATGGGCAGAGAAACCAGGGGGCAGCTTGCAGGAGGAAGGTCTTGCTTGTTGGTGTGCAGGTGCACATGGCCCAACGGATATTTTATTTATTTATTTATTTATTTATTTATTGAGACCGAGTCTTGCTCTGTCACCCAGGCTGGAGTGCAGTGGTGTGCTCTCGGCTCACTGCAACCTCTGCTTCCCGGCCTCAAGCAATTCTTCTGTCTCAGCCTCCTGAGTAGCTGGGATTACAGGTATGTGCCATCACACCTGGCTCATGTTTGTATTTTTAGTAGAAATGAGGTTTCACCGTGTTGGCCAGGCTGGTCTTGAACTCCTGACCTCAGGTGATCTGCCCGCCTCAGCCTCCCAAAGTGCTGGAATTACTCTGTCTCAAAACAAACAAACAAACAAACAAACCCATAGAACTAGGGAGCTCTATGATTGTGGAGTTGCCCTGCTAGTCCTGCATGGCTTCTACTGGACTCTATTTATGTGAAAGAGACAAATTTCCAGTTTAAGCTACTGTAATTTACATTTGTTGTTGTTGAGATGGAGTTTCGCTCTTTCGCCCAGGCTGGAGTGCAGTGGTGTGATCTCAGCTCACTGCAACCTCTGCCTTCCTGTTCCAAGTGATTCTCCTGCCTCAGTGTCCCGAGTAGCTGGGATTACAGGTGCGCGCCACCATGCCTGGCTAATTTTTATATTTTCAGTAGAGACAGAGTTTCACCATGCTGGCCAGGCTGGTCTCAAACTCCTGACCTCGTGATCCGCCTGCCTCAGCCTCCTAAAGTGTTAGGATTACAGGCGTGAGCCACCGCACCCAGCCTATTTGGAGTTTTCTAACAGTTGCTGGCAAGTGTGAGTCAAACTAATAAGATTATTAGGCCGAACGTTGTGGCTTGCGCCTGTGATGCTAGCACTTTGAGAGGCCAAGGCAGGTGGACTGCTTGAACCCAGGAGTTCGAGACCAGCCTGGGTAACATGGTGAACTTTGTCTCTACAGAAAATACAAAAAATGAGCCAGATGTGGTTCCACATACCTATAGTCTCAACTACTTGGGAGGCTGGGCTGAGGCAAGAGAATCGCTTGAGCCCAGGAGTTTGAGACCAGGCTAGACAATAGAGATGATGACTAACCATCGTCTCTTTTTTTTTTTTTTTTTTTTTTTTTTGAGACGGAGTCCGCTCTGTCGCCCCAGGCTGGTGCAGGGTGGCAGAATCTCTTGCTCACTTGCAATTCTCCACTGCCTACGGGGTTCACATAGGCCATTCTCCTGGCTCAGTCTCCCAGTAGCTGGGACACGTGCCCCGCCAAACGCCTGGCAATTTTTTTTTTTTTTTGTATTATTTAGTAGAGATCAGGATTTCACCGTGGTTAAGCAGTTGTTCCTCGATGTCATGACCAAATTGTGATCTGCCTGCCTCGATCCTCCCAAGTTGCTAGGAGATTACAGGCGTGTAGGCCACGGCGCCCGAGCTGGACCCATTCCTCAAAAAAACTGTTTGGCGCGGCCCCACCCAGCTGGACATAGGTGGCAGGGCGCCTGTAATCTAAGCTACTCAGGAGGCTGAGGCAGGAGAATCGCTTGACCCTGAAAGGTTGAGGTTGCAAGTGAGCCGAGACTTGACACCTTTGCACTCGCTCCAGCCTGGGAGAAATCCACTGGGGGACAAAGAGCAAGACTGCTATCTTGAGAGGGAAAGGGAAGGA